CCATGCCCCGCTAACCTTACACTTCACTTTCAATTCTCAGTAAAACCATTTGGGATGTCTTTAATTCCCTGCAAAGCTGTGCTACTCAGTCATGTATCAGCCTCACACAATGAAAACAAATAGATTTAAATCCAAGACAATAAAGATTACAGACTGGCTGGGCATGCAGCATCTCATGACTGTAGTTCCAGTACTTTCAGAGGCCAAGGTAAGTGGATCGCTTGAGCCCAGGAGTTCAAGATCAGTCTGGGAAACACAGGGAAACCCCATTTCTACAAAAACACAAAAATTAGCCAGGCATGGTGTCATGTGCCTGTAGTCCCAGTTACTCAGGAGGCTGAAGTGGGAGTATCACTTGAGCCCAGGAGGTCAAAGCTGCAGTAAGCTGAGACTGCCACTGCCCTTCAGCCTGGGTGACAGAGTGAGATTCTGACTCAAAAAAAAAAAAAAAAAGGGACCCTACAAACCGTGACATTCTAACAATCTTGCATCAATCACATGAATAGGTAAGAAACAGACAGACTATCAGGACATCTATAAATTCTGAAATAAAGCTTAGCATATGGCCTAATAACAAAGTTAATACTTATTCAAACAAGCAGCACTTTCTTTTGAATCAGCTCACTTACTCTACACCAGGATTTCTGAATCTCAGCACTGTTAATATCACGGACAAGAAAGGATGATGTCGTGGCTGTCCTGCGCATCGTAGGATGATGGGCACCATCCCTGGCTTCTACCCACCAGATGCCAGTGGAATCCCCAACCCCAGCTTCAACAATCAAAAAATGACTTTAGACAGTGCCATACCTGCCCTAGGGACAAAACTGTCCCTGGTTGAGAATCACTGCTCTAAAGAAAACCCAAGAATATAGACAAAATCCTAAATATGATTTTATTTGAAGTGATTTTATAAACAGACATAAAATTTAATCAGTTTTAATAACCAAGTCAGACCTTGTAAATGGAGTCATTGCTAGCAGTAACATGTGTTCATCCATTTTGAGGGAAGAAAAGATTCAAGGGACACTGTTTTAGCCACATAAATGCTACTGGCACATGACACATCATCATGTCTTCAATCAGGAATGCTTTCCAACTCAAAGGATAACCAGCCCCTTAAAACTCTCACACAGGTGTCACAATGGAGTCAGTGACTGTTCATGGTGAATTGCCTAAAAGTTATTTAATTTCTATCCTTGTGTTGACGATCAGGAAAATATTAAATGAAAACAACCAATCTAGGTAGGAAGTAACCAGCAAAAAACAAAATTTAGGCAGACAGTTTACAATTTTGTGCATGGACAACTTATCAACAGATCTTAGTTCCTTTCTCATTCCTTTCTCTTCATCTAAGGAAAGCTGTCCTTTCCTTGAGAATTCTCAGAACGGTGATAGTTTTACATACCTGTAGAATTGCTTCTTGGCCTTTTGGCCAAGATCAAGCGTGCATACCCATGGAAATTTTTTTATTATAAAAAGATCAAATTGAGCACTGCTCATTTAAAGGTCTGCAGATTTCATGTTATCTTTATACTTATATCAACCAAAAATAGACTTGAAGTTTTGAAGATTAGCAAGTTCACCTATATAGTACAACATGGACTCAGGACCAAGAAAATGATAGCTTTCAAGGATACCCAGTTCACTGAAAATGCAATATCCAATGTTGTGTTTATCAAAAATTAAATCTAATTTTTCCAAGGAAATATTTTACTTGAAAGTCTTAAAAGATCTTTTTGTGGCACACGAAAAAATAATTAACTCATGTGTTTGAATTTCTAAAATCTTACTGAGATCAGTCTTTTCTTTCTCAGTGCTTGAGTTTTTGTTTTTGAGCAGACACTAGGAAGTAGTAATGGATATCAGAACAGCAAATATTCAATTTCTGATGGCAAGTATAATCTTGTTTCCTTCTGAATTAGCTTTAAAAAATACTTCTGCTGCTACTTTTCTTTAACTGTACAAAGAATTAAAAACATTACACGGAATTTGTTTCTTGCTTTTTCCATTTAACATTTTCTCATGTCTTTAAATATTACTCCAACCATAATTTTCAATGGCCAGTACATATGAATTCCATGGTAATATAACTTAACTATTTTCTACTGTAGGGATTTTTAAACTGCTTTCAACTTTTTGCTTTTATTCTGGGATGAAATTTTTTGGGTAATTATGTTTGCATGTCAGGTCATTTAGGATAAATTCCAAAAGCTAATTTACTAGTTCAAATAGTAAGAACATCTGTATAGTTACACACATTAACAAATTGCTTTTCATAAAGTTTATGAATTTTATACTACCATCACCATTTGAGAATACCAATTCACTGCATATTCAAAAACAGTGAACATTTTCTTTGTCAGTTTTAAATATTAAAATATCTCACTTCTTTAATTCACCTTTTTGTGAAACTGAACATTTTTTAATGTTCACTAATTCTGTCTTTTCAAATTGTTTAGACTTCTATTCATCTTTTTCATTATAACATTTGTCTTTTTCATATTAAATTACTAAACTCAATACTAAAGCATATAAACCCTTGCTTGGCATCCAGAAAGTTTTCATTTTTATGTTGTCCATTCAATCTTACCCTTTCTGATTTTCCCATTACCTTATGCTTAGAAAATCTGTTCCCATTTCAACATAACTATTGACATATTTAGTTCTTTTGTTTCATTTGGACATCTATATTTCTAACACACCTGGAATTTATTTTTGCTGTGGTATGAGAATGATGATTTAGTATCCAGTAGCATCAGAGTCCATGAATCATTATTTCCAAAATTTTCCTATTCTTCCAGATTAACTTTAAAAATCAGTTTGTTAGGTTCCCCATCTACCCCTCCTAAAAAAAATCTCATTTAGATTCTTACTGAAATTCTAGTAAACTATAAGTAAAACTCAAAGAATGTACAGAAGAATGTTGAATACTGGCGCCATCAGGCATCCTTATCTTGGACCTAATTGTCACAGAAATACTTCCAGTGTTTACTTACTTTGTAATACATTGGGGCTTGTTGTTTCAGATAGAAATTTGTTTTTTTCAGTGTAATTTTAAAAATCACCTGTTTTTATTACTAAATCTTGAACTGAATATGGAGTATTTTATCAAATGCCTTTGGAACATCTGTTTAGGATTATGAATATGTGCAATTATGCTTTATCCTATAGATCTCACGAACAAAGAAGTTTCTCAATAGTAAGCCATCCTTTAATTACCAGAATAAATCCTATTCATCACACTGTATTGTTTTGAAATGTTGATTTTTAGTTGCATGTGCTTCGGTTAACATTTTTACATGTATAGTCTGGGGCCTTTTTAAGGATAATTTTGTGAATAACTTTAAATTTCAATGGTTATTATTTCAATTAGTTTACTTACATGCTCGCTTTTTTTTTTTTTTTTTTTTTAAGGAGATGTGGTCTTTTTTGTCACCAGCACTCAGGCTGGAGTGCAGTCACACAATCATAGCTCACTGCAGCCCCAAACTCCTGGGTTCAAAGGATCCTCCCGCTTCAGCCTCCCAAGTAGCTGGAACTGCAGGAGTGCACCACCACACCTGACTACAACTTCTTTTATTTCACCTATATTTTCCCTGAATGTCATTCATTTGGAGATTTCCAAATTTGAGCTCTAATTTTTCAAATCACACCTGTATCTACTGTTTACATGCCTCTTCCCCCATTGGTGAGTTTAGATTTTCTTCTTTGGTTAGGTATCTTAAATATTTGTCTCTATATGTGTCTTCCCTGTGCCCAGCAAAAATCAACTATTTGATTTGTCAAATACCTTTTTTCCTTGGCCTAATTTATTTTTACTTACTTGCAGAGTAAATCTTAAGGTGTTTTGTGTTGTACTGTGCTATTCACTAAATTGTACAAAGTGTCTATCATCATTCACACACATTTGGGGGCAGGTGGCTGTGAGGCACCATGTATCTCATTAATTAATCAGAAATGTCATTCTAATTTTACCATCATCTACTGGAATCTTTAGAACATATTTTTTTAAAGTTGTTAATGTTTCAGCAAGCACTGTACTAACTAGATCTGGTCTTAGAAAATTGGAGACTAATTTGGTTGTGTTTTTCCCAAAGACACTGCTTAGTGTTTTATATTATTCATTCTCGGCACTTCAAGAGCCAAACACTTCAAAATAAATTAAGTATGTTACAGGGAAGAGGCGAAATGGAACAAAGAAACAAATTTAATTTTGGAAACTATAATTTTACTACAATGTAAATATAAACAATTTAACTTTACGGAATTTGGGGGAAAATACACTTCAGAAGCCAGGCTTCTTTTTAGCAATGATAATCTGATTGTAGCAAAATTCAACACTTACGTAACTCTATTCATGTGTTCTTGCAATATGCCAACTTTTTTTGTCCCTTAGATTCCCTGATACATTGTTGCCATAATTTAAATTGCTTTTTCCTGTGTAATTTTTCATTTTTCAAAAATGCTGACTAATTACCTCCATTGCTCCCTATGAAACTTTTACAGACATTCCTATAAAAATACTGTCTTTTGAAACACATTTTCCCTATTATATATAAGTGGGGAAGAAAAGGCTTTTCTAAGAATGTTAAATACTTTTAATTTTGACTCCTGAGATATCCAAGTCCATAACGACTTTACAAATCAACAGTGGTTCTTATTCATAAATAGACGACATGCCATTTAACACAGGATGTCTCCTCAACTTAAACTTTTCCCTCAGAAATTTACATTTTCCTTCCAATAACCAAAAGAAGTATATGATAGACTTCTCTATACTCACTCGTGAGTCACTTAGATTTTTCACAAAAAAAGGTTAATTTTACATACACACACACATACACACACACACACACACACACACACACACACTTCTCAAGTAGGACTCCTAGAAGGATTTCTAGCAGGCTACTAAATTTCTATTGTTGACTATGTAGCCACCATGGCACAGGGAGTTTAAAAGTCAGACGGATTGCTGGCAGCTAGAAGCATCTTACCTGCTTTCCATCCAGGGTGCAGAGCCTCTTGACGACTCCTGAGTCTAGTTTAATGGCTTCGGTGATATCTGTTAAGACTTGTTCAAAGGAATGAGCAGTCTTTTTATTCAGAAGGATCCGCACGGCTTTTCTAGGCTTCACTCCACTTCGAATCACAGTCACTAACTTGGGTTTGATGAAATCTTTACTCTCTTTTACTTCACTTTTCACAGAGGAGGCAGCAGCCAGGGCTCGGGATGTCCCACCCTTGATGTTCACAGACCAGTTCGGATTAATATTTTTGGTGTAATCGACTTTACGAAATGGTTCATTGGATGCACACACGTAGCTCTCACCTAAAAAGCAAAATTTGATTTTATTAGCATGATTATCTCTACCATAGGAGCATTTGGTCTAAAGAACAGATGCTGGAGACTCATTAAGTGAACCCTTAACTTTAGCAGGTTCACTAAAAGAGGATGTTCGTCCTTTTCCTTTGGCATTCTCCCACCTCCCTCTCTTTTAAATAGTCCAGATTGGTTTTGAGAGAATAACAAGGATTACAGGGTGAGAAGCACTGGACCAAATATGTTGACCAAATGTGTCACCTTGGATAATTCACTTCTCCACACTTTGGTCCTCAGTATCATCAGCAATAAACTGAAGTGGCTGAACCAGCTGAATTCTAAAGTACTTTCTGATTCCCAAAACCTCCTATTTATTAATTTGGTTTTAAAAAAATCTCATTCTGGAAGAAATAATTACATCAGAACATATTGATGTAAGGAAATAAAAGTATCTTTCTTCTAATTATAGATTTCAGTTCTAATCAAAGAATAATCACAACATTTTCACACAGCTGACTCAATTATACTCAGGTACAAGGTCACGTACTAAATTAATGAAGCACCATAAACATTAAGGAAGAGTTCTGGCAGCTCAAATAAACAAACCTCAGCCACTTTTCTTCTTACAGAATGTAAATTTAAAATAACTGTTCTTTAAATATACAACACTTTTCTGTAACTACTTAAATAGAAGAGGACCTGAAGTAGTTAAAATGATGTGTTCATTAGTCATGAAACCTTCTGCTTAATTTTTATTAAGTACAACATAAGAGCTGTATTATTTGCCAAGTGGCTTATTAATTCAATGTTTACTGATATTTTACATTCCAAAATTTCTGAAAATTTTATGTTGAGATACCACAGTTTTTCTTTTAGGAAAGTCAGAATCACCCGATGTTTTTACATTCTTGACTTTTTGACACACGAGATAACAGGGTTACACTGAAGTTTTTCTAAAAAGAATCCATTATTTTTTCACATATTCAGTATAACAGACTCATTGTTAATAATATTAATATGAACCTAAAATATTATAAATACTTAAAACAGAAGTAAACAAAATAGTAAAAGGGAATTCCTGAGAAAAACCTATTAATATCCATATTAAACTATTATCATAATGTTCTTGAAATCAGGGTTAATGGAGAACTTTAGAGCTTCCGAAGGTACATGAATAATTCAGTAACAGATCAGGCATACAAGAAGATTTTATTTTTATTTTATTTATTTATTTATTTATTTATTTATTTATTTATTTATTTATTTTGAGACAGGGTCTCTGTTGCCCAGGCTGGACTGCAGTGGTGCAATCATGGCTCACTGTAGCCTCAACCTCTTGGACTCAAGTGATTCTCCCACCTCAGCGTTCCAAGTAGCTGGGATTACAAGTGCATGCCACTATGCCTGGCTAAATTTTTGTATTTTTAGTAGAGACAGCATTTTTGTTATGTTGCCCAGGCTGGTCTTGAACTCCTGTATTCAAGCGAGTTGCCCACCCTGGCCTCCCAAAGTGTTGGGATTATAAGGCATGAGCCACTGTACCTGGCCCCAAGAATGGCTTAAAAAGAGGAGTACTGTCTTCTATCTAAGGGTATAACTAGAGCACTGCCCAAGATAACTGGGGTACCAATCACAGGCGTTAACACTGTTTCTATACCAGTAAAGTGAAATCTAGCCCAACCACCACCATTTAGAGATTTTTCATCTCTATAGGCTTATCTAAATCATTTTTCACAGTACGATCATCTGGGAAAATGTCATATAATTTCAAAAAGTTATCAATTTAACAAAATTAACTATAACCACACATATGTATTAACGGGCAAAATAGAATTTTGCTTTAACCTCATAGAGAAAGCAACTCTCACATCAAAAAGCTCTTACTATTTTTACCTATCATAAAACTTTAAGTCTATATTCCAATTCAAAATATAAGATGGAAGAGAAAAAAGAATATTAGGAAAAGAAGGTAATTTTTTTTTTTAAAAAGGGCAGGGATAAGTAGTAAGTCAGCTGGGGAAAACCTATCCCCATATAAAGAGTAACAATGAAAAAAGAAACAAAAGAGCAAATTTCATAGAGCAGATTTCCTTGGTCAACCTGTCTCTACACAACTGACATATCCACAAGGAGAGCTGCTTCTTAAATTTCTCTGCATTTTGTTTCCTTATACAGGTTCCGAATGTCAGAATGAAGTAGGTAAGGAAGCTCCTTAATTTGTTTTTGTGCAATTACAGATAAATTTTAATTCCTTCCCATTCTCCCTTCTTCCCTTCATAATGTTTCCATTAAAAATTTGTAGGCTTGGCATGGTACCTCATGCCTGTAATCTCAGCACTTTGGAAAGCCAAGGCAAGAGGACTGCTTGAGGCCAGGAGTTCAGGACAGGCCTGGGTAACATAGCAAGATCCTGTTTCTACTAAAAATACAAAAATTAGCAGGACATGGTGGCACACATCTGTAGTCCTAGCTACTTAGGAGGCTGAGACAGGAGGATCACTTGAGCTCAGGAGTTCAAGGCTACAGAGAGATATAATTTCACCACTGCACTCCAGCCTGGGCAACAGAGCAAGACCCTGTCCCTATAAAGCAAACAAACCAAACTTATAGACTAGTTCCACCATAAACGTGTATTAAAGTTTTGAGCCAGGCTGGCAAATGCCTACAAGGTTGGCAAATGCCTACAAGATAGGGCTCTCTACATCCATGGCAGACACAAATAACAGTTCAATAGCCTCACCCTCTTCCCTGTACCCATGGCCCTATGTCCTTTAAGCTTAGACAACTCCTTACAATGTGCACTGAGTGCCTACTATGCACAAGTTCTCATGCTAGGTGCTGACATGGTATGAAACCCACATTAGTAATCTTGGCATTCAACATTACAGCACATAGGTTCAGCACATGGTTTTAGGGTCAGACCTGTGTTTCTGTGTACTGGCCACACAAATCCCTAAAGTGTAGATGTCATATACCTTGACGACAACACCCATCAAGATACCCAAGCTAGCTTGTCTTGTAATGTCCCCATCCAAATCAAACAATCTGCAGATTGTAATTTTGTCTCTTACATAGATTTGCCTACAAAGAGAGAATATGCTGACAAAAGAACTTAAGATGTTGGTTCCCTGGGCAGTTAGTTACAACTCTTGATGTTAATCCATCAGGTTGAGTGCAATGGCCCATGCCTACAATCCCAGCACTCTGGGAGGTCGAAGAGGGAGGATCCCTTGTGGCCAGGAGTTCAAGCCCAGCCTGGGCAACACAGTGAGACCCGGTCTCTATTAAAAAGAAATCAATAATCATTCTTGGTTAGATACTATGCACCTCTAAGACTGATTAGAAGCGATCGGCCTCCCCCTACACAGACTCTTGCTACTGTACGGATTCTTGTTTAAGATTTGTGACTCCCTTGCCAACTTGTAGGTCTCTCCTTTCTTCCACTCTCACAAGGACATAGCTGAAAAAGTACACCCTGCATCCTCAAGTATTAAACCTTAATGTATCAATAAAACATAACAGTGTGGGAGGCCAGGCGCAGTGGCTTATGCCTCTAATCCCAGCACTTTGGGGAGCCGAGGGAGGTGGCTCACCTGAGGTCAGGAGTTCGGGACCAGCCTGGCCAACATGGTGAAACTCTGTCTCTGCTAAAAATACAAAAATTAGCCGGGCATGGTGGTAGGCGCCTATAATCCCAGCTACGTGGTAGGCTGAGGCAGGAAAATCACTTGAACCCAGGAGGCGAAGACTGCAGTGAGCCTAGACCATGCCACTGCACTCCAGCCTGGGTGACAACAATGAGACTCTGCCAAAAGAAAAGAAAAAACCCCACAGAATGAGAGAATTTGTTAAACTCTTGCCAATGTATGTTAAAACTGCACTTACCAAACAAAGTGACAGATGTACTAAAATCTCAGACTTCACCACTAGGCAATTCATCCGTGTAACTATAAACCACTTGTACCCCAGAAGCTATTGAAATAAAAAAATTAACAAAATATAAATTAGAGTTCAACTAGGACCATGCATATGTATTTTTTCATAAGTAGACAAAGCAGTCCCAGAACTGAGCTGACTTTCATAGCTAGACTTCAACATTATTACAAGCTGGTCTGTCACTCAGAATCAAGCCATTTTGTTCTTCTGTTGGATATAATCTCACAGACTATATCATATAAAGTCACTCTAAAACTTTATGATAAAGTGACACAAAAACAAGGTCACTGTGCAATCCACAATACCAAACATCCCCCTCTTGCACTAAGTGAGTGACCGTCATTTCTTTACCACCATAGCTTTTTCCTCAATCTAGTCTGCCCTTCCTATAAGATTTGTAGAGATATCCATTCATAGGATTGTCCTGCCTTCCGACAGCATCCAAGACAGAGTAAGCCCCCGTTTCCTTAGATCCTCCCTAATATTACCCAGCCAGAGCCCAAATTCTATGATAGGTTCTAATATCCTCTTACTAAGACACCACATGGTATCTTATAAGGTGTGTTCTTCCTCACTGCAACAAGTAATAAACCCAACTTGTTCAACTACATGTGTGTTCCCAGTGGTCTTTGGCTAAAGGGAATTTAGATACACATATCCATATTCATTCTCCTTTCTCTGCCTTCTAAGTTCTTTGGCCATAAAAGATTTAGGGGAAATCATTTTTGCAAATCCTGATCATGAGTACTATATACAAAGAGGATTTTGGTTTCTGTATACAAAGAGGATAAATAAAAGCGTAAGGTGGTTATAAAACTTAACTGTTTTCAGACATGGTAATGGAATAGAAAGTGTTCCTTCAGTATCCTGTAAGACTCTTTCCAGAGGCACAGCTATGGCTTTTTACCTTTGATGTCCATTCAAAGACACTTTGCATTACTGCATATTTAGTAGGTTGACTCAGTGTTTACAATTATGTAATACAACTTGGTTGGGTGTATGTTTAGAAGGCCATTAACTTTTATCCTTACTCAACCAAATGAACTACCTCTTATTCAAGAAGAAAGAGGTCA